GGAACTCACAACCCCCAGGGAAGAGTTTGGGGGAGAAAAAAAAAAATGTTTCAGTTTAGGGGTTGGGAAAGATGGGCCCATCCCCCAGCAGCGTCCACAAAATGTTTGGATCCCATTTTTTTTCCCTTCCCCCCTTTTTTCACAATTAGAAAAACGACTTTTTTTACAGTTATTCCGGGCGAAAACCCAACCATTTTTAAAAGACAAGGGGGGGGTGCAGCAAGGGCTTTTTTGCAGACGCCCCCATTGGAAACAAGACAACAAAAACAACCCCACCACTTCCTTTCCCCCTTCCCCTTAAATTTAAAACAGTTCCTTTGAACCGGGTTCCCTTATTTTATCCCGTTGGGTTCCCATGTGTTTTTTAAAAAAGTAAAATTATTCCAGGGGCATTTGGCCCCCCCCGGAAAACGCCTTTTAAAAACCTTAAAATTTTACCCCCTTTTCCAAAAAAAATTTTTTTTCTTGGGATTTTCCTTTCGGGGGGGGGGGGGGGGGGCACAAACACAACAAGATTCCGAAAAATGTTCCGAAACTCAAGGCCGGCTACACCGCAAAAGTCAAAACGGCAACAAATCTCAACACAGCGTCGTCGCCGAGACTTGGTCCATTAAGTTCCGCCTGCTGCTGCTGTGCGTGGGCCGCCAGCAGAAAATGAAGCGACGAAACCCCCCCGCCGGAGAGTTCATCCTTCATGATGGCAAAATTATTTAGCTGAAGATGCCGCCGAAACCCTGTGCAGTTCGACGGGACACGGGAAAGGCCGAAAGCAAAAAAATAACTCGCGTGCATTGTCGGCAGCCGTGATAAGAGCACACAGGATCACATAGGCAGGAGCACACGCGAAACACAGATGTAGTGTCAACAATGAAAAGGAGATGTCCTTTATGCTCATGAGCAGACTAGCTCCACTCTCACAGCATCTCTAGACAGGAAGACATGAAACCAAACAAACTCTCCGAACAGCTCAGCAACGTCACGCGGGCCTTCTCGTATAACAAACCAGAAATCATGAACCGCTTGGTAACCCAATTATTGTGCTTGCCGTGAAGCAGCGGATCGAGGTGTTCAACCCCTGTCCAGCCGCAGAGCTTGGGTATGCACGTATCCCAACAGGCAATCTTGCTCAAGGTTCGAAACCGGACAAACTACATGGAAACAAAGAAAAAACAGCAGCTCAAGAGAAGTTATTTTCATCGCTTGTTGAATGTGAAGACAACAACAACATGCATGCAGCACCGGACATACCTTGTTTCCCTTGCTCTTCTTCTTGCTGTCCTTGATTTTCCCGCCCCCCTTCGTCTGGAGCTCCTCCAACAAACTCCTCTCTTCCGCGCTCACGTCTCTCGGGATGGCGACCTTCATCGTCACGTAATGGTCACCACGGACCTGTATCAGCGCGAGGGGGGGGGGAGGCGGTGTTTGAGCATTGGTGGGGTGCACGAACAACAACGGAGTATTGTAGACACAAAACTTTACGTAATATGCATGACGGGAGAATGGGAGCACGAACAACAACGGAGTATTGTAGACACAAAACTTTACGTAATATGCATGACGGGAGAATGGGAGCACGAACAACAACGGAGTATTGTAGACACAAAACTTTACGTAATATGCATGACGGGAGAATGGGAGCACGAACAACAACGGAGTATTGTAGACACAAACCTTTACGTAATATGCATGACGGGAGAATGGGAGCACGAACAACAACGGAGTATTGTAGACACAAAACTTTACGTCATATGCATGACGGGAGAATGGGAGTTTGAGGATTGGTGGGATGCACGAACAACAACGGAGTATTGTAGACACAAAACTTTACGTAATATGCATGACGGGAGAATGGGAGTTTCAGAGGATTGGTGGGGCGCGTGAATAACAGCCGAGTAGACACAAAACCTTCACGTAACCTGCATGATGGGAGAAAGGTAGTTGGAGGATGTGCATGGTGGGGTGTAAGAACAACGGTGACGTAGATAAAACGTACCGTCGGGTGCCCTCTCTAGTGAAAGCAAGGGTTTGAGGAGAACGAGAAGATACATTCACGATTAGACGTACAGTCGAGTGATGCGATAAATAAAAGGAAAGGGCAAAACGGCACACAAAGGGGGGGGCTCTATAGTGTGGGTACCCGCGGGATAGTGCGGGCGAAATTGACTGGCACATACGGGATATCGACGGTTATTTCACCAATAGAGCGGGGGCTTGCTATAGTTCGGGTAAAGAGCGCTCGTGGCACACGTACCCGCACTCTTACAGAGGGCACCCGGCTGTATCGGTGCTACCTATTGCGCATGCTTGGCAGCCACCACCGGCGGATTGTGTTTCGCTTCGAATTTCTTCGTAGCAGTTGGCTATTTCGTACCCAATTGCCTTCGGGACAGACATTGCTCCCTTTAAGAAACAACCTTCCAGGACTATTATACTCAGTTCATCAATAGAATGGAGGCCAGAGCCCATGCTAGCCGCCGGCCGTCGCGCCAGAGGATAAAATCGAGCACGCAGACCACCAAGCACATGGCGTAAATGGGTCACTGCTCTGACCACCCTCTTTGCACCCGCTAACAGAATCGGGCTACTTGCTCGGGACGTTATGACCCTGCAAGCCAAGTCCAACGAGTCTGTTGATGTGTTCGCACTCAGGGGTTTCACGAGCATACTCGCGTCTGCTGGCAGAAGCTATACGCACAGCTCCCCCCCACAAAACCCCTCACTGACAGGTCTTCGACAAAGCCGTGGTGGTGTCATTCGAGAACGGCAGTCACCCGCACATCAAAACTAAGATTCTTCAGGAGGATGCCAATGAATCCTTTTCATGGACTCCAAAAAGGACGCGCTCCAAAACACGAAGCAAATCGGCTGAGACAATCAACGATTCCGTTCTCTGATGCCTCCCCTGCCGTATCTTCCATGTACCAACCGACTGAAAACCAGCTGTCCAAACAGAAGCGACGTGCTAACCGCTCGGCTCAGCACCCTCGAGTAAGCCTTCGAACAAGGGACCACACGTCTCGAGCGCGAACTCGAAAACCCGAGACAGTTCGCGCGAACGAACGTAAGGGCGACAGGAGGAAACGGTATTCTCATTTTTTTTTTTGGTTCCATCACTTTACACTGCGTCCCAAAATTGAACATCGAAAAAATACCCAAAACAACCCAAACATAAACTATTTTGCGTCCCCAAAACTGAAAACAAAAAATGCCCAAAAGCAGAAAAACACACCCAACACCTCGGACAAAAGGCGTTACTCTCTAGAGTAGGCAATAAGCAGCGGATAGGAGGGGGCTCCAATCCGTGGCAAGACAGGAGGCTTCATGTCCCAGAGGCCCCTGTACCCATGGAAGACTGTATACACAGATGAGCAATTCGCTTCTTTTTGGGTTGTTGAGGATCGCTGGGTTCTTCGAGCCAAGAATATGTCAGCCGTGTGAGCTGTTCCAGCTTGGGGGAACGTCACTGATGTCAACCGGCAGCTGATTCGCACAACCACATACCGCATGCTTTAGTTTCATCTTGAGTCACGCGTTGTACATTTGAAATAAAAATAAACAACAAAAATAATAATACTATTATATAGTAAATACCTTAATTATATCATAAATAATAATAACAAAATAAACTATTTCTAGAAATATCTTGAGACACCTCTACACCTCACCGACGCGTTGTTGAGCTGCGGGGATCCCTTCCCTCGGATGCGCAGCACCGTGTCCGGCTGGCAGCCCGCGGGCACCTTGATCTCAACGTTCCCGTCCACGACCTCCACGTTCACATTGTCGTTTCCGAGGATGGCGTCCAGGTACGAAATCTACGTAAACCACACGCAAGAACAAGGGGCGAATAAGTAAGGAAAGATGGAAGGCGTTCGTGGTCAACTACAGCAGGTACGAAATCTACTCCAACCACACAGAACCACACACACGCAAGGGAGGAGAAAAAAACAAGGAATGAATGATGTGGCGCGCTCGTGGTCAACCAAGTACGAATCTACTCCAACCACACAGAACCACACACACGCAAGGGAGGAGAAAAAAACAAGAAATGATGTCGGGCGCTCGTGGTCAACTACAGTAAGTACGAAATCTACTCCAACCACACAGAACCACACATACCCAAGGGGGGAAAAAGCAAGGAAAGATAGAAGGCGCTCGTGGTCAACTACAGTAGGTACGAATCTACTCCAACCACACACACGTACACATGCAACGGGTGAAGCAAGGAACTACCTACCCGAGCAAAAAGAGAGATGCAGTCGGGTGCCCTTTTTAGTGCGGGTAGGTGCCAACCGCTTTCACTCGCACTATACCGCGCACCCGCACTACCGCGTATGACACAAGATAACACCCCCCCTGGACCGATTTTCAAAGCTCGATTTTTCAACAGCAGAAAGAGCGGGGGTGCCGAAAACGGCGTCGTTGAAACCGTCTCGTCGAGAGCTCTCCGAAAACGTACCGTTTCGTTTTATGCATCATGTTGGTCGTGGAGTAATCGAGCTTTGAAAATCGGTCCAGGGGGCGTGTTATCTTGTGCCGTATACGGTACACAACCCGCGCTACAGAGGGCACGCGACTTGTAGGATTCTTACCTTCTGCTCGCTGTAGATGTCCTTCCCTGTCCGCTTGAACTTACGGTCGCTCTTGACGTTGAGGAACACGTACAGGTCTCCCACAGGCCCCCCCTTCGCTCCCGCGTCTCCCTCGCCCTTGACCCGGAGCTTGTTGCCGTCGTCCACTCCGGCTGGGACCTTGACCTGGTCGGTGCCAACGACCACGCCGAGAGAGCAGTAGAGGCACCAGGATTACATAGTATTAGCAACAACAGCAGCAGAAGAGGCAGCAGCACTAGCATGAGCAATAACAGGAGCGGTAGAACCAGAGGCAAAGGTGGGCGGCGGCGGTGGTGGGGCCACGTTTATGTGTTCCTTCCAAAAAACAAGGGTCGACAAAAAATGCTTCATATGTACATGCGCAAAATATGAGGGAAAAAAGTCAGAGACTCGACAGAAAAAATTCCGGAGCATGTACAATAGCAAAATGGGTTGTTGACGGTTCGCATATATACGTCCCAAGGAAGCAAAATGCACACTTGCAAGAGGGAAACAGATACACCTGAGTCCGCATTTTCTATTGTGAACCGCCCTACAAGCCGGAGGCCCCGCAGCTGGGCCACAGGAGGCGCAACGTTTGTAGGGAAAGACAGGCCCGAAAAGGTCTGGGGTTGTGAAACCAAGCGCCCGTAGCAGTGTCGACAGACTTGAAAGGAGATAACCTGTACGTCGCGTGTGCCACGTGTCGAGGTTCCCATCATGGAATGGTAGGGTATGGTATGGTATGTCTCACCTTGACCTGCTTGGTCTTCTCCACGACCCCCTGGCCAGAGCAAGACCCGCAGTACTCCTCGACAACCTTCAAGGATAAGGGAGAAACAAACGGGTTTGAGAGTGAGCGTGAGTGAGTGTGTGTGTCTTTAATACTAGCATCGACCGCGCTAACCGGCTGACGAATGAAAATACGTCAGTCTCAGTGTGTGTGTGTGTGTGTGAGAGTGTACGTGAGTGAGTGTGTGTGTTTTTATTAGTAGCATCGACCGCGCTAACCGGCTGACCAATGAAAATACGTCAGTCTCAGTGTGTGTGTATGTGAGTGAGTGTGTGTCTTCTTATTAGTAGCATCGACCGCGCTAACCGGCTGACCAACGAAAAGACATCAGTCTCAGTGTGTGTGTGTGAGTGTATGTGTGTGTCTTTACTACTAGCATCGACCGCGCTAACCGGCTGACCAATGAAAAGACATCAGTCTCAGTGTGTGTGTGTGTCTCTATTAGTAGCATCGGCCGCGCTAACCGGCTGACCAATGAAAAGACGTCAGTCTCAGCGCGGTTGAAAAAACAAGCACACACTTTTAAGTGCCTATGTGTGTGAGAGAGAGCCCATGATGCTTCATCATGAACCAGCAGCGCGAGGATCGTCGTTACACGAATAAACACACACGAGTGCTCGGCAAGGGTACTGCGGGCGACGTTTCTAGCAGAAACCTAGGGAGGAGGCTACTGCTGCCGATGAATTCAGCACTAACCTAGGCACGAGGCTACTGCTGCTCATGAATTCACCACTATCCTAAGGGAGGAGACCATTCACCTCTCCGGTCCCGCGGCAAGTTGGGCAAGTCGTCTGGGTCTGGAAGGCGCCGAGGGGGGTACGGGTGGCCTGAATCACCACACCGGAGCCCCCGCACTGCCCGCACGTGCTGACCTTGGCCCCTGGCTTCACGCCGCTGCCCGAGCACGTGTTGCAGGTCTCCAGGTGGCGAATGCGGACCTAATAAAAGTTGGGAAAAAAAGCAAAAAAGGTGTGTGTTGCTATATTATAAACATCGACCGCGCTTACTGGCTGACCAATGAAAAGACGTGAGACTCAGTGCGGTTGAAAACACAAAACGCTTCTAAATGCCATAAACTGGGACCCCGTGAGGGGGCCGCATGGGGGAAGAGCGTATGCGTGTGTGTGTATGTGTTTCGTCCAATTTGTTAAGGGTAGACACAGCAATATGGAAGCAGAAGAAAGAGAAGGAAGGGAACATAAAATTGGGAAAGAGGCCGGCAGCGGTTGGGCGGAGGCTCAAGAAAGGAATATGTTATTGACAACACGCCCACGGTACAGCAAATGGAGAGGAAGGAGGAGATATTGCGGCGCTAAACCCCTGTCGGTGCGATTCTCGATGCCGTGCTGTGGAACAGACGCACTCCGGTTGCCACAACGAGGGACTACTTACACGATTTTTTCGGGCGGGTCATACGAAAACCTCTTGGCACTCAGCCATATTCACTGATTGCTATACAGCATGGACCATATCGCTGCAAAGAAAGACAGCGATATCCACTTGTTTGTTATGCGGGCATGGACGATACCGCTGCAAAAGGACAGCGATATTCTCTGATTGTTTTGCGGACGATACCGCTACAAATTTACCTGGCAGCGACGTTCACGGAGTGTTATGCGGGCATGGACAATCCTGCTACATATACATTTGCTGTCTGCCAGTACGGTTTAACGTTCCAAGCAGAGCACATCTGCGAGAGTCGGAGGAATAACCGGAGTGAAAAAAAAACGCCTCACAACATGCCAAAATCGCCGCCAGGACCAGCCTGGACCGCTGCGACATATACTCCACAGCAGTCGTGCCAAGTGCTGCTATGTACACGACGTGCTACTAAAGCGGCAACCACCGTCGCTGATATATCATCACCTTCTCTTCCACTCCGAAGCAAGCTGACTTGAAGTCCAAGTCAAGGTCCACTCGAAGATCGTCACCTGCCAAAAACAAATATGAGGGGGGGGGGGGGGGAGGGGGGGGGTTCTGTGATCGCGAAATTCCGAAGCATGCGTCCATCGCTGAGGTTCACCACATGCCGGGATAGGCACAACAAAGATCGAGGAGGGTGATCCTCAGTGCTCAGGCATGGTACACTGTACGGTGGGCTACGAGAAATCAAAAACATCAAACAGCTAATTGAATACCAACTGCTGCGAAAAAAGCGGCCGGGCAAACGACGACAAGCCCATCGGGATGTTGTTCAAAAGCAGGGACTGGGCCGCCTCGGCATATCACAAGAACTGATTGGGCTCTGGAATGTTCACAACAGACGGTAAGCCGCTGCAGCACAGACGACAAACGCGCCACCAGTCAAGACCTTGGCGCAAATGACACAAGATAACACACCCCCTGGACCGATTTTCAAATATCGATTTCTCAACAGCAGAAAGAGTCACAGCGCCAAAAACGGTGGCGTTGAAGCTGTCTCGTCGAGACTCTTCCGAAAATATATATTTTTCATTAAAACGTTCTTTTCGTCGTGGCGTAATCGAGCTTTGAAAATTGGTCCAGGGGGTGTGATATCTTGTGTCATATACGGTAAAAGAGTCCAAAATCTAAGAACTTGGCCATAAAGACAGGTGCTTAGTCAAAAAGCCTACACTGAAACCTACTTCTTCGTATTACATAGTTGCGGTGGGGGTAACCATAGACAAGTTGGTCAAGGAACGAGCCTCGGCAAAAAAAAAAGGTTCATAAGTGGTGGCCGGTTCTGTACACATTCATCCGACACCCCGGCATTTCTACGCTGTGTTGTACCCAACACCCAAACCAAACAATACCGCCACTCTCTCTATAACCCGACTCGCTTCCGACATTGTACGGCCGCACGCGCATTTGGTGGGCTTCTCAAAAAATGTGAGACATCCCAAGAAAGAAGCATCGCGAAGGGGGTGCCATCAGGCAACACCAACACCGCCCTGGGCTATAAAACCGTCGCGAACAGCAGTGCGTTTCTCGGTTCCCTCGTGAGAATAACAGCCGTGTTGTCTTGTTGTCCACGAGGGAACCGAGAAACGCACTGCCGCTTGCGACGGTTTCTTCGTGAAAAGATTAGGCCAGGGCGGTGTTGCCTGATGGCACCCTCTCGGCGACGGTTTTTATCGTGCGGTTTTTCTTGATTGATGCACCTCCGATGTTTCGGCAAGCCCACCAATGCGTCCATACAACATAACATTGAAAATAGTGTGCGGTTATCGTTGACTTTCAGCGTGGGGACACAGTGCCTGGTAGCCAGCACGCGAGTATAGTCATCCCTTGGTCCAGGACACAAAATTTGAAGACACCATTCTTGAGGGCACTCCTCCGGAAAAATCACACCTCTTGTTTCACAGGCATGGTGTCCCGCAAAATGTACAACACAAGGGAGCGAATAATAAATATCGACACGTCCCTGGCTTAAGGACAACTGTCTTAACGAAACAACACGCGTGTCCTTAACCCAGGGACGACTGTGAGTTAACAATGGCGCGAGCACGAAGCAGCAGCGTACTTTTTTCAGGGCTATACATGGAGTTCGATGGATGGTAAATTTCACGGTAATGGGATGGTAGTTGCATGGTAGTGGTTTGGTACGGATAAAATCCGCCCGGGAGAACCCACCGTTTTCGAGGTGGTCGCAATTGCGGTCAAGTGTGCTGCGAGCATTGCAGAATAATCTACGGATCAACTGCTTGGAGATGCCCAGGGCGGATGACTTCCCTAAAGATGCATTCCCAACAAGCCGCTTGTGGTGCAAACTACAGCTGGTGGTGCACCAAAACCACACACGTCATGTACCGGCTTCGAAAACCTCACCAGCTAAGAACTTGTGATTCCAGTTAAGAATGCCTAAACTAAAGCCTATCACATATACAGCGGTCATTTGCAGCTTAATAACCCCAGGAACAAATAAACCTCGTCCAAACCTAGAGGTCTTAAGTGCGGGCACTAAGTGTACTGGTTTCTGAGAGGTTCTTAAGTGAGAGCACTAACTGCACTTGTTTCTTAAAGGTTCTTAAGTGCGGGCACTAAGTGTACTTGTTTCGGAGGGGTCTAATGTAAAAAAAAGGACGTGCAAATACAGTAATACAGAAGCTCTAAGGTAAAAATACCGTGTAGTAGGTGCGGAACATGAAAATCATACAGCGATGCCCCCCCCCCCCCCCGCCGTCCCTCCCTGCTTCTGCGCACCCCGTACAGGCCCCTGCCGTCTCTGCTGCTGCCGGCCCCCGCCACCCATACCGCCTCCACCAAAAAAGCTGTCGAAAATGTCCGAAAGGTCGACTTGCTGATTACCGAGGCGCGGGAAGAAGGCGCCGGAAGAAGCAATGTTGACAGTGGAGAAGGTCAGAAATCGATCAGGCAAAAGGCAAGGCAACCATAAGTTATTCCCTGCAGAGCAGACAGAGTGAAGCGCGAAATAAGCACTAGTATTTCTACTTCAGTGTGAATTTTTTGTTTTGTATGTAGTCCTCTTTCTGAGAGTGTATTGACACTTCTAATGAAATATGAAACATTTCAGTCGCAGCAGGAAAGGGGGCAGCACCATGTCCACAAATGGCGACGGGAAGAGCCCCGTGGGACACACTTGTGCTTACAATCATGAAAGCAAGGAATCGTACAGCTTCGGTAAACCCTAACCTTTTCGCGGGGGGAACTACATACCCTCTCTCCCGACAAGCTACAGCACAAACATTGCCCAGCCGTACGTCACCCCACGCTCTGTGGATGGGGGACCCCATCTCTTGGTCAGACAGCCAGGGGCGGCGGGAACGAAAGGTGCGCTGCGTGGACGATGCCGTAACAGCAGAGCCCAAGAAGAAAAATTTGGAGCGAGTTATCATCCCAACTATGCACACGACCGGAGCTATTGAGGAGTGACTGCGACACCCTAACGGGATAAGATACCCTGGGAGCTCCGTAAAACCACGAACTTTGAGAACCACCAAACAACAAAGGAGGATATTCTTGTGCTGCCTGCAACTCGCGTGTGAAGTGGACACATGGCCATGCTCCGAAGACACCCGCCCCTCCTCCTGTTGCGCCTACCATATGCGACACAAGATAACAGCACCCCCTGGACCGATTTACAAAGCTTGATATATCAACAGCAGAAAGAGTTGGTCGAGAGCTATCCGAAAACGCATTGTTTCGTTTATACATCCTCTTCGTCATGGAGTAACCGAGCTTAGAAAATCGATCCAGGGGGTGTGTTACCTTGTGTCATTGACGGTGTTTCATACCCCCACACACCCTCATGCAGAACTCCTGCGCAACATTTCAGTTTCATTTGCTAATCCAAAGACCACCCGAGCAGTTTCACAAACCCATCACAGGAAAGCAGATTTTTTGTGCAGCAATGAAAAAGTCGCGGCATCTCACGTCGAATCCCGCACCCCCTCCTCCGCCTCCTCTTCCGATCCCCGCCTCGCCAAACTGGTCGTAACGCTGCCGCTGTTCGTCGTCGTTCAAGACCTGATTTTTTCACGCACATGAAAGCAAATAATCAGCAAAAAACAGCGATCGGAGGACGTACCAGGACATGGTTTGCATGTATATGGAAGCAAGAATCAGGAAACCAGCAACAGGGTGGTGGAGCAAGACCTGGTTAGGCATGCACATGGAAGTCAAGAAGCAGGAACCACAGCGACAGGACGCCATGATGGCAATCCTTACTTCTGGTCATAGTTTTGGAAAAGGGGGCAGGAGAAACATGCAACGCATGGCGCGATGGTTCAAACTCCAAGGCTTCACGAGCGCCGCGCTTTCGTCCTATCTGTTCTAGGCGCCAGTCTAAACCTGTTGGGTGTATACCAGGTTTTACGCACCTGCCGGAGTCATGCCGCAGCTACTTGTCAATGTGTACTAACATTTTAGGAGTCCCACTTTTTTTCTGCTGATGCAAGTGAAATACGTTCCTCTGGGCGCGCTTGTTTCGGGAGGGCCGAATACCGTAGTCCTTGTTGTTGTTCTCTGCCTGCGGTGCTGGCCTTCAGCTTTAACCCAGGCGGTTCTTCAGTTCCATGCATTATTTCTGTGTCTCACGTTCTTTGATTTCTAGAAACGTGTACCCATTTTTGGGGGTTAGTTGCCCTGTGGCCACCGAGGGCGTCCGCTCCAGTTGGATCCGTACGGGTTTTGCAAGAAACAACAGTACTTCGCAGTGCTCTGAGGGCAACGTTTTCTTACGTCAAGACAACTACTCACAGCGACGCGCTTTCCACGCCGAACCTTGTTTCTCGCACTCAAGAGAAATTCCAGGATTGCCAACTGACCCCGGGGTGACCGCTTTGCATACGAGAGAAATCGACGCAGCAAACTCGTTTACACCTCAACAAATCCCAAACATCCGTGGAGCAGCGGGTGCCGTTGCGACGCGGTAACGCTGTTCTCCCGACGATTCGCGCGAGGGCTACAGAGCGGGTGGGTGACCGCCCTGTCCCCGACCTACTAATACCGTCTCGACCAAGTACGAGATGGTCCCTTCCTCCTTTTTACGGCCGTACAAAGTGGTAGGACTCACAACGTGGGGGCTCTTCACCCCAAAAGGCTTCATCTGCCCTGTCCGCTAGGGAAAGACGACACCGTTTGGGGCGAGGGGGGCCCGACGTGGTGATTCCTGTCAGTTTTTACGGCCGGCCAAAAGAGGAACAGACCATCTCGTACTTGATCGAGACGCTCATGAGGCACCCGCTCCAGCCCTCCCGCGAATCGAACCCTGCCCCGTACCCACCGATACTAAAACTAAGATTAAATTTCTTGCAAAGGCTAGATGCTGGAATCGGATGCCACGGGTAAAAAAGGTCGAAGAAGCGACGTCCCGACGTGGGCTTGTCGTCTTCATAAGGGAAACACACACACTACACACACCTGGAGTATTCAACATTGCTCTTCTTTCCCCTCGTAATGGCATTTAGAAGTGTTCTTGGTTTTCACCCGCACTGAAACTGACGTCTTTTCATTGGTCAGCCGGTTGGCGCGGTCGATGCTAAAAATAAAGACACACACCTGGCATACTTACTGTCAAAAAGGGAAACATTGGACTCATGTGGTGGTTGGTCACAAGCGTGAGCAGCAAAATCGCTTGCTATGCATACTCACTGCTCTGTGTCACAGCAGTACTGTAGCACAGCAGTAGTCAATCCGTCAGACTGCTGCACGTGGAAATGTTCGTGCGAGCCCACGCAGTATGTATGCATACAGCAGTAGAAGTGGCCCGCCTTCAAGATACAGGCCTTTGGAACGACAACCCGATTGCATGGGTGGGCTATGAAGACCTGAACCCATGTATCCACAACACCTACGCACGATTCTTCGACGCTCCCTGCCAGCCACCAACCAACCAGCAGCAGGTCGGTCGCGATTTGAGGCAACCCGCATCTTGTCAGTACCTGGTACGCAAACCTCGCGGGATGCGTCTGTGGAGACATGAACCGCACAGCGAACACCCATAATTTTGAACAACACTTTACGCAAGCAGTGTTTGGCGAACCTCCACACTCCATATCATGAAAAGTCGGCCGACCGTCTGCGATCGTCCACCACTCTCATAAACGTAACACAAATAGAACTTCACGCAGACTCCTGCTCCTGCTCCTGCTGCCATACACACGTGTTGACATCGCTACATCGTCCGGAAAACAACTAACTCACGCTGTAGGCGGTGCTGATCTCGTTGAATTTCTCGCTGGCGCCGGGGGAGTCGTTGACGTCAGGGTGGTACTCGCGGGCGAGCTTCCGGAAGGCCGACTTGAGCTGCGACTTGTCGGCACCCCTGTCCACGCCGAGCACCTCGTATAAGTCCCTGCCCATCCGCAGAGCTCCTCCCTGCGAAGGCCTGCTTGACCTCGCCCTGCTGCTGCTGCTGCTACGTGCCGGCCTGCGAGCGGACGAGAACGGCCGGTTGGCGCCTGCGGCGCGCACAGGCGTGCAGTTGCTTCTCCACTCCTCCGAGCGGCAGCCGCCACCCGACCTGACGCCCGACCATGCCGACACGAAGGCCGAGCTACTGTCGGACCTGGTTGCTGCTACGACGCCGGAGGGGGGCGCGGCGGCGAGGCTGGTGGTTGCGCACACGAGCCCCAGGAGGGCTGACCTGGTCAGCCTAAGCATCATGTGTTGTTGCTCCTGTCGTGGCAAAAGTACAAGCTGTGGAGGGGCTTGAGCTGCACGTTTTCCGTCCGTTGGAGCGTTGTGCTACGTCGTCACTACTGTATCGTGCCCACGCTTTGCGGAGAAAGTGGACTGCAGTGTGCAGTGAGAGCAGCGAGACGGAGATGATCGGATGAAGGATGACACGACAGATCAGAGATGGCCCTCCTGCTGCTGCCACGCATGGGGGCTCCGTGGATGGAATTTTCTAGATTCTCAGGAATTGGGGTACAGGTACAGCGGGCCAGGTACAGCAGCAGCAGTACATGGAGTGGACGGTCACGAAGTCACGAAACCCGCTGCTGATTCCTGCTGTGGATCCCGCGAATCTGTTGCCGCATGATGATCGATCATCAGTCTGCTATCACCACGCGCGTAACATTCCCCAGCAGTGGTTCCGTCTCATGCCTACAGCGATCGTCTAACAATCGACAAGATGACTTTTTACCCGGGCAGGTTACGAATCTTCGTCGCTCGCCGTCCTGTGGGCCCTACTACGCTCACCCACAGCCAACGAATACCTGTTTGTATATCTACGGTACAATGTATCTCGAAAGGGGAAAAAATACAAAGAAACCCGCCTTTTCCGCTCTTGCTCTGTGTTTTCGATCGATGGAGGGGCTTAAAGTCGTCAACCCGATTGTGTGTTGGGTGCGAACGTGGCGAAAGTAGCGACGACCGGGAGACAAAACACTGCTTGCTTGCTGCTGTGAGCAATAATGACAGCACCGCTGGAGTGGGAGAGAGAGCGTGTCGACAATCCGTATGGACCAGGCAGGGGACCACCTTTCGAGAGCACTATTTACTTCTGTAGAGAATCTACACGTAGGAGAGGCTCTTCTTCTGAAGACTACTACTTACTGCTGTAAGTACGGCGGGCGGAGCGCCGAGAATGTAGTCAATGTTCATGGGAAAAGACCAACGAATTTGAACGAATGAATAGTCTACACGATGGTTTACGATGATGGTATATATTCCCTTCACCGGCGTGAAGCAAGGAAGGATATCCTGTCCTTGGCCGAGTTGTTGCTACCTTCCTCCTCGGCCGCGATTTTCGCTATTCCATCCATCCCTGTCATTTGTTCAATCCTTTTTTGTGTTGCACGTCTTTTTCCCTCTCTGCCCCTGCCTTTAAACCTATTCAACTAGCTTGTTGTCTTCTTGTTGTGTGCTGCAAGGCGAATCAACCCGTGGGTCGAGAAAACTTCGCGAGGAGAACCAAATATGTGGGTGCTGCTTTGAGACAGCTCGTTCTTGATCTGAAGACACCCTCCGACTCAAAGAGGTCGCTGCACAAGAGATGTGCCTCTTCCCCTCTATCTACAGCAACAGTCGGTCGTTTTACGTGCTCCAAAGCGGCCAGCGCACCAAAAAACCTCTCTGGATTGCTCTGGATGACATGCATGCCGTAGGGATGATCTCTGTCGGTACAATGTAGAAGTAAGCGATAGCCATGCACCGCACCTCGAAGGAATCGTGTACAGTATATGCACGCCCATATCTAGACTACTATCTGTGCTCCGTATCTCCCTCGTAATGCACAGTGACAGACAGTCGGAAACGGAGGGTATACATACGCATTTACCCAACACCACCGGTATCACCCCTGTTGCATTTCCTTCTTCTTTCGTGTGTCATGTCACAGAGAAGAGCGTGTGTCATGTCACAGAGAAGAGAGAGACACAACGAGCGGTGGGTCGCTTGCGAAGATTTCAGGATCATAGAATGTGGCACGCGCGAGGCTGGTTGATCATGATGCGGCGCGTCGCCAAAGATCCTTTGCAATGTCCAAGGGCTGGCCGGTCAGGTTGCGGAAGCTCGAACAGCATTTTACAACGAGGCCAACACCTCAACTCCTAGCACACACCAGTAGGTAATCGCTCCATTTTCCCAACCCTGCTACACCTCAGTCTTCACATCCCCTCCCCCGTTCGTGCAGGGAATCGGCAGTGCATCAAACGGAGATGATACAAAGTCAGCTCTTCAAACTCTGCAGAGCACACTTTCGCTCGCATGTTTCACACTTTGAAGGGAGGCCTATTAGATATATTGGGAGTACTCGTAGCATAGTATGACGGTTGAGATGTCCGGTACGTACGTACGAAAGTAACAGTGATGAGATGCGGAGGGATAGGAACTTTCTACATATATATATTCCTTGGTTGCGAGAGGTATTTGGTGGAGATTCAGAGAGATTCGTTGAGTGACAAAGAGTGAAGGCGTGCCCAGATACCGTGAAGGTTTGACGAGCACTGGCACGCCCCCGATGAATACAATACTTTCCAATACTTTTGCATTACGTTTTCAACACGTTTCCTACCCATCCACGCTCCGCCATGAGCCACCCGCTTTGAGCTCCAACCACAAAGAACCGAGCCACCCGAATTATCGATCACGCTAGCGTATGACACGTCGTCTACGAGATTCGCGGTCGAGCTTGGTTTAGGAGCATCGCCTTGCGGCGATCGACAGCAGGGTCAAGATGGCCTCCAGGCGCGAAGATGAATCCCGCCCAGCAGCGGAAGCCCGCCAAGCAGCGGAGGACGCCAGGATCGAAGAACTGGTCAATCAACGAGAGAGTAGCAGCTCGGATGGAGCAGCTGATGGAGGAGAAACTGGCCAAGAAGATGGCCGAGATGGAGGTACGGCATCGAGCCGAGCGGCAGAGATCAGAAGATCTCCGGCGAGGAAATGAAGAACAAGAGGCACCACACCAGCAAGAACCTGGGGGCCCAACACCCAACCCTTCCGCAGACGATCTGGCCGACGCGATTGCGACTGCCATGGCCGGTCGCCTCCAGACTTCATCAGGGGATATCGGTGCAGTGCCTCACCCTGCAACTCTCCGTATGACTGAAAGTAGACGAATTGAGCTTTGAGAATTTTCTGCCCGCCAAGCAGCGGAAGCCCGCCAAGTAGCGGAGGATATTGGTTTTTGTTGTTTAGAGAATTTTCTGCCTGCCAAGCAGCGGAAGCCCGCCAAGTAGCGGAGGATATTGGTTTTTGTTTGTTTTGAGAATTTTCTGCCCGCCAAGCAGCGGAAGCCCGCCAAGTAGCGGAGGATATTGTTTTTTGTTTGTTTTGAGAATTTTCTGCCCGCCAAGCAGCGGAAGCCCGCCAAGTAGCGGAGGATATTGGTTTTTGTTGTTTAGAGAATTTTCTGCCTGCCAAGCAGCGGAAGCCCGCCAAGTAGCGGAGGATATTGGTTTTTGTTTGTTTTGAGAATTTTCTGCCCGCCAAGCAGCGGAAGCCCGCCAAGTAGCGGAGGATATTGTTTTTTGTTTGTTTTGAGAATTTTCTGCCCGCCAAGTAGCGGAAGCCCGCCAAGTAGCGGAGGATATTGGTTTTTGTTTGTTTTGAGAATTTTCTGCCCGCCCAGCAGCGGAAGCCCGCCAAGCAGCGGAGGACACCAGGCGCGAAGATATTGGTTTTTGTTTGTTTTGAGAATTTTCTTGATTGTTTTGGAGAGATGGTAAAGAGGAATTTGGTTTTTCTCGGAGCATGACGATGCATACGAGTAGGGGGGCTATTAGATATATTGGGAGTACTCGTAGCATAGTATGACGGTTGAGATGTCCGGTACGTACGTACGAAAGTAACAGTGATGAGATGCGGAGGGATAGGAACTTTCTACATATATATATTCCTTGGTTGCGAGAGGTATTTGGTGGAGATTCAGAGAGATTCGTTGAGTGACAAAGAGTGAAGGCGTGCCCAGATACCGTGAAGGTTTGACGAGCACTGGCACGCCCCCGATGAATACAATACTTTCCAATACTTTTGCATTACGTTTTCAACACGTTTCCTACCCATCCACGCTCCGCCATGAGCCACCCGCTTTGAGCTCCAACCACAAAGAACCGAGCCACCCGAATTATCGATCAAGGCCGGCCACACAACGTCAGCGATCGGCTGGTCGAAATATGCCCCGAACGATAGCTGTTGCAGGGACGCCGGCCAGATCACTCCGGCAATCGGTTGGTCGAATTGATCCCCGAACGTTAGTTGTTGCAGGGACGCCGGCCATACGACGCCCTCTATAGGTTGGTCGAAATGGTCCCCGAACGTTAGCTGTAGCAGGGACGCAGGCCACACGACTCCAGCGATCGGTTGGTTGAAATATGTGCCGAACGATAGCTGTGGCAGGGACGCCGGCCACATGACTCCGGCAATCGGTTGGTTGAATCTTGACCCGAACGTCAGCTGTTGTAGGGCAGCCGGCCATACGACGCGCCCAACAGGTTGGTTGAACTGACCCCCCAACGTTAGCTGTAGCAGGGACGCCGGCCACACGACTCCTATGATGGGTTGATCAAATATATACCCGAACGATAGCCGTTGCAGGGACGCCGGCCACACGACTCCGGTGATGGGTTGGTTGAATCTTAACCCGAACGATAGCCGTTGCAGGGACGCCGGCCACACGACTCCAGCGATCGGTTGGTTGAAACATGCCCCGAAGGATACCTGTTGCAGGGACGCCGGCCACACGACTCCAGTGATCGATTGGTTGAATTTTGACCCGAACGATAGCTGTTGCAGGGACGCCGGCCACACGACGCCCGCAATCGGTTGGTCGAAACGTTCCCCGAACGTTAGCTGTAGCAGGGACGCCGGCCACACGACTCCGGTGATGGGTTGATTGAATATTAAACTGAACGAAAGCCGTTGGAGGGACGCCGGCCACATTACACCGGCGATTGGTTGATTAAAGAATTTCTCGAACGATAGCTGTTGCAGGGAGGCCGGCCACAAAACCTCAGCGATGGGTGTCTCGAATCCTGACGCGAACGACAACTGTTGCAGGGAGGCCGGCCACACGACTCCATTGATCGATTGCTTGAATGTTGACCCGAAAGATAGCTGTTGTAGGTTCGCCGGCCACTTGACTCCAGTGATGGGATGGTTGAAAGAACCCCCGAACGATAGCCGTTGTAGGGACGCCGGCCACTTGACTCGAGTGATGGGCTGCCTGAACCCAAACCCGAATGACAGCTGTTGCAAGGACGCTGGCCATACGATTCCAGCAATAGGCTGATCGAATGATTTCCCGAACGACAACTTTTGCAGGGACGCCGGCCAAATGACTCCCTCAACAGCCTGATCGAAAGCATTTCCAAGGGACAGATGTTGCAGACCCTCCGGCCAAGACACAGACCGTGGGCTAGTCGCAAACCACGATCCTTGCAGCTCTATACTTTCTGACGACATCCACAGCTCCATGGCCGCTCTCTGCACCAGATATTTCACGGAAAGCGCCCATGTCAAATGAAGAGCGCGCACAGCCGGCACACGGCTCGAGGTACGCGCCTGCGAGCTGCCTTTTATCGGCCCGGCCTGTACTTTACGAGGGGACCATAAGCTGCGAGGAGCCTCACGTGTTACACGGACGTGCAAGATCAACATACTTCGGCAAGCCCTGCAGCTATCCAGCGAGGCCAGCTGCAACTCCAGTGTCGACGCAAACCAGCGCTTCTCCTCTCCCGCACACGCTTGGCTCAAGGCGATGTCGAAGATATCGAAGCACCTGGTTTGCCCTGTGAACAATCAGCGCGGAGCAAAATCGAACGGATTTCCAGAAAGGCCGATCGGATATATGCAGTACCTCATGTCAATACAACAGCCGATGATATCGATCGGGGGTACAAGGAGAAGCATGGGACGAGAACAGCTGCCCTTCCTCATGTTAATGCTCGGACACGTGAGGAACGGATATTCGGCCGGTTCCGGAAACACGTCGACGACAGCTGGATCTGAAGTAGCGGAGACATCGAAACCCTGTGGGTAACGCTGCTGCAAATATCGCAGATTTTTGTAACCAGGCGCGAGGTGAGATTTTAGTGTAGCGGGGAAAGCGTTCAAAATGTGGGAACATGCCAGGGCACACGAGAGAACTCCCAAGGTCCCATCAGGCTGACCTCGAGTGCTCAATATTGCCAGATTTCGTGGTCCGAACCAGACCGGTTGGCCGACGATGACCATGTTTCGACGTTGGTGGATATGGAGCAGGAAAACCTACTGTTCCCTTGTTTCGTAGCACTCAAAGAAGCTGTGTACGGTATTATAGCGACCACTCGTCGAAACGCTCATGGAGGGAACTTAGAACATGCACACCAGAGAGGGGATAGCGAAAAATGAGTCAACAACGCCCCTGGTGACGAGAATATCGTCAAAGAAACAAAGTTTTGTGGCCGATGTGGTTGGCTCCAATGCGAGAAGTCCTTCGCAAGACTACTGCTGTAGGTACATAGTGGATGGTGATACACGGGGACTGCGCTGCAGCACCAAGCACTCCCTCCATAAGCCACGCCCTGGTATACTACGAGCATAGTCTATGTCTTGCAATTAATACTACGAGGAGAACAACGATACGTACACGGTACGGTTCCAAACAGACTGCGGACGTCAATGTGCACACCCTCGCAAACTAAGACAACGTTTTCCATAACTCTAATATTGAACACTCAACGGACTTTGGTCGTGAATAAAAACCCGTCAGATATACCCCCGTAAGTTGCTTTTTTGGTGCAACTGAAGGGGATGCCCTCCTTGGGCACAGGCTAGCAGCAGCTACAAACGATATATTTTGCCCCAAAGAGCACATGAAAGAGCCGAGGAACCACTCGAAAGAACCCATCGGCCAGCGCGGTGTGGAAAGCCCGTGGAAAAGTGGCAGCAGCGCAGTAGTCCAACAGAGCCAGCTCGTTCTCTCGCATGGACCGTTTGTCAATATCTCAGCCAGTCTCTCATGTTTCGCTTTTGCTGGAGGCGGCGGCGTTTGTTTGTTTGCCTTATCTCCCGGCCTACGGTTACCCAGCGAACGACGTCATCCCCATGGTTCTGAGTCCCACGTGGCGACTGCATCAACAGCACCAATCGCCTCAACTTTGCCCTCCGCTGCTGTTGTTGCTGCTGTTGGCAAGACCTCAATCCATCAATTTTCACCCATCGATTTGTCCAACGGCCAATAGAACCGCCAAGACTCTCCCTGTTGTTTAGCCAGAGGGCGGGCACTAGGTGCGCTGTAACTGCTGTGCTTTTACCTATGGAAGGGATTGAGCCACGGCGGGTGGGTGTGATTCTGTGGATGTGCGAGACTCATCAGCGGTATGCTACCTCTGCTTCTTCTCCTGGTTTAAATCGCGCGCGACTGAGCTCTCCGCTTTTGAAATCCTGCTTCTCTTCCTGAACTCCCAGAGACATGGGCATCTCTCGCGGACGCACGATCAAACCGGTGCGACGAAAAGTGCGCTATTTTTTCTCTCCCTAGAAACCAACAGAATAAAAAAAATCAGTACCCTTAGATTCGTTCTGGTCCCAAATGTGGGTTATTTAGGCTTCCCGGAAATCAAACTTCGGGCCCCTGCATCGCGTTGGAACAGGCCAATATTTGTCGTTGTTGTTGTTGTCTGACATTAATTTGAGCCTGTTTTATAGAAAATGTACATTACCTCACAGAAAGACTACCCGTTCGAGATAATACCACGGTCGAAAGTCTGTACAGCAGTGAGTGGGAAGAAGACCGGCTGGTACTGGGCTTTCTTAACGTCCATTTAAGCTTATACACTGACCTATTATCAGTGACGCCAGCTGGTGCTAATCACAAAAATATTACTATCGTTGTTTTGTCTTCACATTAAAAACCGTTCCGATCTCTCTACCCAGTACCTGTAGCCTGTTTTTTCCTTCCTGGGACGAAGGAAAAAGACGGTCGCGCTGCGCGCTCTGCGGCTCATTAAAATGTTGGCACTGGTTGCCGGGTTGCCCTACCAGACGGTTACCGTAGGTGACACTAGATACCGCACCCGTGTGATGACATTTTTGGAAGTTGTCACACCGGCGTGGTATTCCGTAGGGGGTGTGATATCTTGCGTGACCCGTGTGATAAATTGCACTCACAGGACTCCACCCCGCAGGGGGTGTGGTAACAAGAGTGTGTGATAAAAAGGGGGTGCGATACTGTCATCGATGGGATGAACTGTGCCCACACGACCCCACCCAATGGGTGTGATAAAACAAGGGTGTGTGATAAAGATGGGGTGTGACAATATCACCCGCGGGGAGAGGTAATACCCCCACACGCCCCAACCTACAGGGTGTGTGATGACGAGGGGTGGTGTCGTGTGGGCGTCAACAGCACGGGCTGTACTAGGCACAGCAGGTATTGTCGCGGAAGTGTCAGCAGCAGGATCTGCTGCGCGGGGCTCAGGAGCACGGGCTGTGGCAGGCACATCGTGTGCTGCGGGAGTCATCTCAGGCGCCACAGAAAGAAAATACGTAAATGGCCGCGGCGCCGCCGCTGGAGTCTGACTCAGTGCAGTCTGAGCCGCGATGCTTTCAGGAGTGTTGTGCGCTTGTTCATCTCCACGGTGTTGTTGGTCGCCATAGCTCTAGGGCAGGGTTGCGGCGTGCGCTTTGTGCGTGATCATCACGGTCTCCCACACAGGTGTCTGATAGGATCCTCCGTGATATACATTTACGGCTGAGGGGGTGTGGTATCTTCTGTGACCGTGTGATAAACCGGTGCCTTTTCACATGTGTTCGCGCCTATAGGAAATTCAAAAAAAAAAGTTCAGACAAGAAATCACGCCGCCGGTTTCAGCGGGGTCAATCTTGTTTCATCCCCTCCCCATATTGGACATGGGTGAGCCCAGTTCTTTCACCACCTCGTGCTCCTTACACAGACCTTGTCGTTTCAACAAAACAGGCGGGCGCCTCAAGCAAGTTATACCCTCCATCGGAAAGCTGGTTTTACCCTTTGATTTTGCTTTGAGCCGGAGAAATGTCTCGCGATCACATCTGAGTTGAAGCTGCCTTCCTGCTGCTGCACGCAACCTTTTCAGCTCTGGGAAGCAACTTTCATCCAAGTTGGTTACCCGCTTCAGAGTCCCAATTCGGCCAAAACTCCGCGCCATACAGTAGTAGAGATAAAAGACTATAGAATGAATGTATGATGTGCACGGTTTGGGATCTGAACTACAGCGATGGCAGTGGGCCTGCAAAAATCGGCCTAAATTCAGCTCTAAGCTCCATTAGTCAGCAGACAGGCCCCAGAACGATCATGAGCCTACCTCCGAAAAGATCATGGTAATCCAAGACATGGAAGCACTCACCGCACCTAGATGCCTTTTGGTTACCCACGTAGGGTGGACCAAATCTCACGAAAATTGGTGTGTGTGTGTCTTTACATGTGGGCAATCCATAGATGATGTTGTGGCAGAATAACCAAAAAACACTGCGCGGAGAGACTGCTTCCCGATGTGATTCCAGGATTTGTAATGTCTGCATAAAAAAAAATATATGGAATTTTTTCCATAGGCGCGAACACGTGTGCATTTTCTAGGATGCAGAAAATTATCACACGGGTGGGTGTTTACATGTGGGCAATCCATAGATGATGTTGTGGCAGAATAACCAAAAACACTGCGCGGAGAGACTGCTTCCCGATGTGATTCCAGGATTTGCAATGTCTGCATAAATACAATGTATATGGAATTTTTTCCATAAATTTAGGCGCGAACACGTGTGTATTTTCCAGGATGCAGAAAATTATCACACGGGTGGGTGTGGTTTTCTGTACTTTTCCGTTATAGGGATGTGGTATCCTCTGTGGGTGTGGAAGTGTCACCTACGGTAGTTTGCAGGGCTAAGTTTGCCACTTCTGGCAGGCTCAGCGCACCTGCACCTCTCACGGCGTCATTGGCGCTCCCACCCCCTCCGGCGGCTCCAGCTGCGGCGCCATCGGCTTGGTCGAGTGCAACCGCGTTTTGGGGTGCGACCCCATTCTGCCGCGCACCACCGGGTCCGCCGGCACTGGTTGCGCCACCTCCTCCGCTGGTGCGAGCTCCTCCTGCGGTATTCCCTCCTCCGCGGCCCTGAGCAATCTGGTTGTCGGCCGGCGTTGGGCCAGGCGGCGGGGGTGGGGGCGGGTGGCTCCGCCTGGCCTTTTTCCTTGTTGTTGGAATTGTCGTTGCCGTTGTTGCTCATGATGCGGCTGTAGATCTGCCTAAATCGCTCAAGTCCCGGAGACCTGCCGCTTGCTCAAATCCCGTAGACAACTCTTGAGCACACGCTGCTAAAGGCGTGATCCAGTAGCAGTGTTCATACTAGTGTTGTGTATCAGGAAATTCATATATCAGGAAACATCCAATATACCCCTGAATATGATATATCAATATCGGCTTTTTTTCAGGGCAATATCCGGATATATCAGGAAATTGATATATCAAGTGCATATCTGATATATCAGGAATATATAGGGTATATTTCTTGATATGAATACTGTTCGGGAATATATCGGGGTATACATTTGAATATTTCTTGATACTCTCTTGGGCACACTACCACCACACTACCATGTCGGGAGTCCCACAGTCATCTGTACGTAGTGAAACATATTCGGCAGAGGGATCCTCTTCGGCAAAGGGATCCCCTGCTTCGGCAGCGTCCCCCTCTTCGGCAGCATCTCCCATCGATTTGGTCGTCTCCGAGTCGCAGCCAGCAGAACGAGCAGGAGGTGGTGTGGTAAAGAAAACCAACCCTCGGTCGTGAAGGAGACAGGAGGTTCGCTCACCTGGTAGCTTAGCTAGTAGCCAATACATAAGATACTCCGTTGTATTATTGTTCGGGAGACGGGAAAAGGGGCGGTTGTGCCGTAGATCGTGGGTCGCGAAGTAATACATAGAGCAGCGGCCAAAATCGGGTACATACACCCGTTCCAAACACGGCCATAATCGGGTACCCCTACAAGATGCTGCTGGGAGCGACCGCATGCCACCATCTGATTGGCCGACGCCCGCCCCTACCCGACCTTGACCGCCTCTCCACCGGGTGCACCCGATCTTGGCTACTCACCCCCGGGATGAGGGGTACCCGGTTTTTCTTTCCCCAACCCGAAAATGGCTGGGCTGTTCGACCAAAACCCATGCACACAATCACGGGTCGGACGCACACCACCACTGGCTGGCCCTCATTTGTCGCCAATAATGAGAAAGTAGCGGGAGGGAGAGAAATATGTCTATTCTTGAGATGAGTCCTGTGTGTGTCGCATCTCGTGACGGAGGTATTGATCCAGCTCTTTCTTCTTCTCGGTCATTTGCACAGACCGCCAGCCGTTTCCCCCAAGGGAGACTTCCACCGCCGGCGGGGGGTCTGCCTCCGCCCGCCGGGCCGTCAGAAGGTCCGAATTCGAGGGCCAGTGGTGTGCGTCCGACCCGTGATTGTGTGCATGGGTTTTGGTCGAACAGCCCAGCCATTTTCGGGTTGGGGAAAGAAAAACCGGGTACCCCTCATCCCGGGGGTGAGTAGCCAAGATCGGGTGCACCCGGTGGAGAGGCGGTCAAGGTCGGGTAGGGGCGGGCGTCGGCCAATCAGATGGTGGCATGCGGTCGCTCCCAGCAGCATCTTGTAGGGGTACCCGATTATGGCCGTGTTTGGACGGGGTGTACCCGATTTTGGCCACTGCTTTTTTAAGAGAGCTGTTTGGATGTATTACGTCTTCTTGTTTTCGTTCAATGAAAAATAATGGTTTCGCGGTCATTCATACGCCGGCAGTTAGCAATTAATTGCGATCCTCTTCGCTGTTGTTGAGTCTTTGGCGAGCCTGATGATGACAGCAGCAGGATCAAAGGAGCGTTGCAACTTGCCACTATATCCGCGGATTCAACATAGTAGATGATCAACTGCTACAGCTATTGGATACATACAGTAACGCCGTCAGGTACGTACGTGCTCCTTCCTGCTCTCGTGAGCGTGATGATCTCTTCAATATACCCCAAATATACCCCAATATATACCTCTAATATATCAGATGTTAGGTATACCTCAGTATATACCCCAATATATACCCCCTATACATCAATATCCGAACCTGTTTTGAGATTTCCTCAAATATCAGAAAATATCAATATCCGATTTCAACGGGGGGGTATATATCAATATCCATATACCCCCCGTAAATTTCTTGATACACAACACTAGTTCATACGTCCGGCGTCCCGGCGCCGCTCAGCTAAAAAAAAAATGTCTCTTCTTTGGTTCCAAGGCTCTCTAAAAACCGTTCAGAACCGGTTCGGGAAGACCGAGATTATTTTTTCGCCGCATTGCTGAACATTTTCTTCTCAAGCACTCGAGCACCTCCTGAATCGATCCCGCTTGGCCGATTTGGGGGGGGTTACAACCACTCCGAAAGTTGCTCAGACCAACACTCGGCTGCGCAGAGCCAGGGTAATCAATCACTAGGGAAAGCGTACATTTGCAGAGCAACCAACAACGCCGAACGAACTACTGCTGCTACACTCAGACTCTGGGACATTCTGATGGCAGATTCGTGACCCCCGCCCCAAAATTACCCTCTTCCCTGAAACTACTATTATAGCCCTTAGTATAAAGTAGTGATACGAGGTAGGGGGAATCTCCCTCGTTCCCGGTTTTCGGGGTGTTTTTCGTAAGCTGTAGTCTAACTCTGTTCCACCAAATGTGAAAATGAAAAAAAATCTGCCAACGGATTGTTCGTACTTCCCGGCCTAAAATTAGCTTGGGTTGAATTTTTCAGATCGATCGGACGTTGTTAAAGACTTTTCGGCTCATCCCCCGGTTTTCTACGTTTTCAAGTTTTCCTCAGGGATAATTCTGAAACCAGTTGAAACCCAGCAACAACTGCCTATCTATAGATAAATAAATATGCGATGGCGCATATTGTCACGGTAGCATGAACGGACGCTAAATACTGAGAATCATTCCATTTCACGATGGTTTGAGGAGGGCTAGGGTATACCCTAGGGTGTACCTGAATCATTGGCGGAGCCCCTCTAGAGCTCCGCCTCAACACGTGTTTTGGGTGATCGCTCACTGTTAACACGGCCAATCTCGGAAGAGGAACTTTGACCCGCCACATCGCTAAGCAGCAACCAGTTGTGAGTCAACGCATGAGGTAGACCCCCCTTGCTAATCCCACCTTGATTAGACCCACAGGGCTAGACCCACAGGGACGGTATCCCTTTTGCTAGCCCTCAACTTGAATCCAATGGTAAGATACCATGAACCTGACCATGAAATGGATGAAACTGACCATGAAATGGAAGAAACTAATTGAACCCTAGCCAGTGCTTGTTACGCTAACACATGGGTGAGCTACCCTAAGCGATAGCGTGATAACCTCTGTGACAATATCGCATATATCTCAAGAGGTGACAGAAGTTTGTTTGGCCCATTATTTGTTTTGATCCGACTTTCCCACCCTTGTCGCCTCATCATGCATTCAGAGCTATGTTAAGCTAAAGCGGTGACACCCCTCTTTCATGCCGAATGGAGACGTTTCAACGAGGTGCCCCCTCAGTTGTAGGCCATCATGGGCTCATACTTCTTTGTTAAGTTTGGAACACTTTCAAGCCATTCAAGAAGGTGTGGTACACGTCCGGGTAGGTGACGTTCCCCTCTTCAGTGAACTAGGCAGCGCAAGAACGGCAAACACGACAACAGCTGGTCGAGCAACATGTGTAAGAACATGTTGGGGGAGCTTGTCTTAGTGCAGGGGGGGCGTTTTCGGGGTAGAGCCCACACGTCCGAACAAGGGCGGTTACTCCTTAATCTCAATACAGCCAATGTGTCCCCGCTTTAAGGACACTCATCTTCAGTAAACTCCCCGCTTTAATGGCATAACCAATCTCAGGAAGCAGGGTAACCCAAAGATTTACAATGTAGAGGAGGGGGTCTTACGGACAATTCCCTGTATTTGAAAAAATATAATGGGGTTGTACTGACACGAAACACTGCGAAGCCGATCGATTGATGTGCACAGCCTTTGCGACGCTCACCTGTGTCACGATCTGCCAGGCCACGACGACAATCTTTATAGATTGAAGTGGGATGTACCGTGCCACGCGCTCGGCTAGTCCTCGTCTGCTTCCGTTCCTCTCCCCCGATGTCTGATGTCACGAATGACACGACGACGACGGCCGCGAAAATGCCCACCACGCCCAAGACCAACCGCGAGCACTAGTCCATACCGCCGGCGCTATCAGAGCACTCACGAACGATGAATCCAACCGCGAGCACAATCTGTTCCGAAGCGGCCAGCGACGATGGGAGGGGGGAGCAAACGAGCATCCGCATACGCCGGCGTATAGGCTATGGTGGTCACTAACTCGCCAAACGTCCACCATTGACCCTATCATGGCTGCGCTGGTTGTTCCTGTGGTGCACCTACGCCGCCGCCACCTGCATCCACCGCGGGCCCCCCGAGACCACCCTGCAAAACCTCTGGGACAAGCACGTGCTCGTGGTGCTGCTCCTGACGTTTTTCGTGCACTCCAACGTCAGCAGCACGTTGTTCCGGACGTTCGCGTGCGAGACACTCGAAGACGGCAATAACTACGACCGCATCGAGGGCGACTCCTCAAGGCAGACGGACTTCCAGGTGTACGTAGGCATCATGATGCTAGTAGTGTACACGGCGGGCATCCCTGCCCCGTACAGCTTCCTCCTGTACACAGACCGCGAGCTTCTCTAGGAGAGACGCACCTGTCAAGAGCCCACTCCTTCTCGCGAAACTTCCACCTGCAACCTGTGGAAGCCGTACAAGCCGTGCGTGTTCTACTGCGAGGTGATCGAGTGCGAGTGGCATGTTTTGCTCGCCGATGTGGTCATCTTTGTCTACCCGAACTCCGGTGCTTACATCGCGAAAACGTCGGTGATTGCGTTCACGTTCGTTCTGATTTCAAAGGGCTTGGCCACTTACGGGTCCAGGTGGGACAACTGGATCAGCGGCACGGTACACGTCGCGGTCATTGTTTCGGTGTATGCCGCGCTCTTGCTCAAGGTAGACGTGTCGGACGAGCGGTCAAGCAACCAGAGGATGTTTGGGGTCGCGTCCTTGTCGCCGTCCACGTGGCCATGGTGATGACGGTGGTGTGGGAAATGTTCGTGCTAGCGTGTGGGTTGAGAGCGGAGCAGCGGGAAAGCCCGTGGCCAAAGCTGCACAGCGAGAGCGGCAGGATGAGCCGAAGCATGGGCAAGGAAGAGAGAGAGGCACATCGGGAACAGGAAAACCCTTTGGCTGGCCTCGTGCACGGACGAAAAAGGACGGGTCTGCTGAGATTGGTTGATGAGCTCAATGGGGGTGCGGGGGGGAGAAATCCATTCGGTTGCTTGCTACTGTAAAGTTTGCCCATCCAATGAGTAGCATGTTGGTTAAAACCCAAGGGAGGGAAGAGTGCGAACAAATGAGCAAATAAGGGCATGGAACAGATAATCTGCTCTGTAGGATACGCTTGCGCGACCATCTTCATGACGGCTGACCCCAGAGCGCGAAGTAAACGCTGTCACTGCGTTTGATCTGCTATTGCTTCCACAGAACAGGCACCTCCTTGTAGGCAAGTTTGGTTGCATTCCGGATGGATGGCAGTTTTGGGAATGCTCAAAATGGTGTCTTTGATGACGCTCCCTGAGCGGAGTTGTTGTGTTGAGGGAGGATGTAAGCTGAAGTTGTTGTTTAAATGTTGAATCATGTCGAAGGTTTCCAAAAAACGAATCCGGCAATAGCACGCCATTCACCACGCGGGCAAGTTTCATCGATCTACAAGGCAACGACTTCCACACCGCAACTCAACACGAAGAGCATGCGAGTGTTCTAACAGACATGAAAACCAGCTCAAAATTCTTCCTCAACCAAAGCTAAATTTTCCCTCACTTCCGACACTGATTGAAACACGTTATTGTCCGAAAGGGACGTGACACGGAAACGAGGCGGAATTTGAAGCTGGTGGCGGGTGGCATACATCCATTTTTAGGAACGAACTCGCTCGGAAAGGGTCATGGTCAGCAATATTGACGGCGCCTGGTCCAGGGCTGTCTTGCCCCAAGTTGCCCGAAATTCGACCTTCGTCCCTGAGGTGGGTATAAGCGGGCCATCTTTGATGAACTTGGGAAGTCTTGGGTATCGCCGACATCCTGGCAGGCTGATGATGCAGCGCTTTGGAGTTAGAACTCTTGTTACGTCTTTCCCATTCCTCTGCATCCAACGCCGTTGGTGTGGCAAATACCGGACAGCCTCTAGAAGAGATGGAAGAAACGTTTGGGTAGTGACTGGCCGGCCCGGGAGACTCTGCACCCATTCTCGTCACGAAACATCCGTCTGGGCCTTCTCGTTCTCCTCTGCTGGACACGAGCGTACGTATCACGGGGCAGCCCGTGGTCCCCGCGTTGGCCTTCCCGACGATTTTGTCGGCTGCCTCTTGCTCCTTGAGCCCGATGTATGGGCTACCCGCACCCGCTGCGGTGGTACTGGAGACGGGCTGGCGTCTGGGAGAACGTTAGCAATGAAGCATGGCGTTTGGAAAGGGAGGCTTAAATTGTTCAGAGTACTTGAAGTATGGGACAAACTCGAGACAATCCGATTAAAAAACATGTGGTTTATACAATCAAGACATAGGCAGGAATGTCATACGAGTTGCCGCGACTCGGCTTGGTCTTGTGCACCCCTCTGTCGGCGTAGCTCGGCATGTACACTCTTTTCCAGTCAACACTATTGGCGCTCCCGTTCTCCACCAAACTATCACACGATCGGATCACCTTCTTCTTGCACCAATCCCCACACGAGACTCCGCTGTTACCGCCCGTGGCCTGTGAAGGAAACGCTTGTTAACACCGCTGACCGTTCCTTCTCCAGTCCCTGCTGTTCTAGAGGAGGGGGGGTGTTGTCGGCAACGGGACGACCCGGGAGCCGAGGCAGGAAGCGGGGGTCGTGGCGCCAGCTGCAAAATCTCATCGTGTCCAACATACATGGCCGGACCAGGCGAAAATACTCCCCGCGCCTGTCTCTCGTGGCCCTTGCTGAGGTACCTGGAGGAGCGCGCCACGAAGCGGGAGGCGATGAGGAGGGTACCAACCAAACGGATGGCAGACTGTGTGTCAGGTATTCCCGATACAAGGAGAGAAAAACGAGAGTTCTGTAGGCTGTAACGAGCTTCTCTTGTTTCACCCCTCGTAAACAAGAACAACGGCTGTTTTACAAAATCATCAAACCTTGCCCAAGGTATTTGGCGATAAATTATGCACTCTTGCAAAGTGTTTCGGTACAGCCGTTTATGTTTTCACATTGTGAAGCAGACTGGGTGGGCACATGTTTGGAAAACGCAAACTGCCGGCATCGTCACTCCGAAAAAAGAGGTATGCATGTCCAGTCGAGGTATGTATCGTAAAGATATTATCGAGATCGTCCACGTCGTTAATTGCTCCTCAGTGTAAAAATGCCCCCAACGGCGAGAAGAGCAGGTGGTCCCAGGGTTTCTTGGAGCCTCTCACCTGGTGGAATTGCTCAGAAACCTTCGTTCTTTGGGGAATACAACCCCGTATTCCGCACTGCTATGGTCTCTATTAGCCCCTGAAACACTGGGAAGGTACTTGGGCCCTGGGATGCTTTTGACGTCCACCGGCCACACCCCATCCCTGTTAGTTTGATGAAATCGATGCAACGGGTGTAGCGATGACGGAAAAGGAATGTTCAAGTCAAGACAAAAACACGGGTAAGAGCATGCTACTACACAGGTACACCAGTGTGCACGCGTATCCGGCACGAGGTCGGTTGAGTGCAACGTCGGGGCTGTTAATGTGTGCCACCCCTTTCTTCTGCAGGAACGTCGTTAGCACGCTTAGCGACAATGCTGATGGCCACCGAAACAACCACAAAAGGTCCGGACGAAGCTTCGAGTACATGGAAAACGTGCGGTCACCTTGCGTGCAGCCATGTCGTTCTTGGGGTACAAGTTCGTGACTCCTGATGTGTATGGACATCACATTCATGCATGCCCTGTGCCTCATGCCGGGGCCCACAACGCTTTGAAGGGTCGCACCGCGATGATGCCCCCCTCCGCACGGGGCATGCGTCCGACGGTTTCACCATCGACACCGGGCAGTTGTCCCTCAGCGTCGATTTCAGAGGGATCGGTCCAGGCCTTGTGTCGCCCCCCTGAAACTTTTCCACCCACTTGGAAGACCAAGTGACCCAGCCCGTGTACGGCTGGACCATATGCAATCGAGTCAAGCGTAGCTGGCGCATTTTCCCTCTCTTGTTCTCCTGGTGGTGGGGTACTGCTGAACAACGGTTGACGCAGAATACGTCTCCGGCGAACAGGCGACCGCAGGGCTCTGAGTTGAGGCCCACGCCCCTGCGGATTTGCAGGCCGGTACGGTTGATAACCCGGAACAGGTCCAAGCCTTGCCGTAGCTCGGGACCTGTTTTCGAGGGAACCGTTGGGGGGCAAAATGTAAAAATAAAAAAGCTGCATTTCGTGTAGTACTCTACCTCAGTACCCTGGTACACTGCCGGGGTAGTCGGCTTCTTGGAGTGGGACTGCAACGGAATAGTTGAAACTACTGGGTGTAACATACAGTAGTGCACACGTACCCGCTCGTGAGAGGGCCTGTGCTGTCGGCGTAAGTAGTACATGAGAGGTTGATGTTGTTGTCTTCACATCAAATCCTTTCTATCTCTGTGCAATACTTGCTAACACCCACACTGGTCCAACTGACACGGGCGCGTTCATCGGTCGCAGGCTAACTGCCCCAAAACCGGTACCCGATGCACATTTAGTCTGTAGACAACATGATGAGCTGAATAATTTACGAACACAGGACCCAAGGGCGAATCCGTAAAAGTACATGTACCGCGAGAATCATGACTACCAAACACTCAGACTTCACTGCGACATATCGGACAGATTATGTCCAAAAGGAGATCGATGCACACGGTGGGCTCCCACTCGCCACGCAAGGCCCCAGCAAAATGCGTCTAGGGTTACTGTAGTAGATCTATACCAAGCAAGGTAGATTAACACAAAGAAAATAAAGATCACAAAGCAAGCACGTATCCCTTCCACAAAGCAGGAGTGTATGCTCGCCGCCGCGGGTCCGCATCGGTCATGTCATTTCCCCGCACATACCTATAGATGAGTTTGCATCTTATGTTTATAGATGTGTTTCGGGCAAGTTCCGAGGCATTATGTAGGTAGAGTTCTCGGTGTTTTGGGTGTGCGACAAGGCGGATCGCCTTAGATGTGGATCCGAAACATAAATACATAAAATTGTGGTTCTCTTCTCCACCTGTGTGTCTGTATTTGTTGCACACGTTTATATGTATGTAGGGCGCTGCCTTCGGCGCAGGGGAACGCGTCGACCTGTTCCGGTAGCAAACCACTGCAACAGAGCCCTCTCTGGCGCCGCAATGGCACGACGAAACTGAGCGTACTTCACATCAAAGTCAACTGACATCGGACGTAGGCGACCAAACAATCATGCCTCCAGACTTGACTCGTCTCCTGATTGTTCACAATAGGGTCGTTGTGTAATCTACAATAGTAGCATGTACGAAGTACAACGGACAGACTGAGCAAAGATTGTCTATGGTAAACACAACCGCGCACACACTTATCACCTACCACGAGTCTCGTCGTGCGGAAATCTGTCTCCCTGTGTTCGACACAGGAACATGGCGACGGCGAGCAGAAATCGTTTGAGATGGTGCGGAGTCCTTCAGGAAGCCAGTGCTGACGATTGTAGAGTTGGGACGGCTGGCTGAACGCAGCGCTGAATGTTTTGCGAAAGAGAAAGAGCGTACATGCAAGGGCGTATCATCTCCAGATCTATCTCCAGTTACGGCTACGCGGCGCATTTGAAGTGACGGTTCGTGGGGCCATTGCCCCGCTTGAAGTCGGCCTCCGTCATTGCAAGCAACTCCTCCGTCGGCCGTGCCTCTCAGCTCTCCGCAAGGCCGCATCCTCATCCTCGCTGCGAGTGACACACCTACCGGCTACTTTGATCATGCCCGCCAACACTGCGGTAGAGCGAAGACCGGGGCGAGGGCGATGCCTAATCGCAGCCAAGAACCTTGGCCTGGGTGACCTTGTGAGTGCACCAAGCCAGCGTTGCGTAAGATACCACCCTCCTCTGGACCTACTTTGAAAACCTGAATACAACTCTGCAGCAAAACACTGACTGTGCTGAACAATGGTGGTGTTTGAACCTTCACGCGCAGAGCTTTCCAAAAACGTATAATTTGGTGTCGGCAACCTCTTCGTTGTGGATTTATCGAGCTTTGAAAGTCTTTCCCGGGTGTGGTATCTTATGCAACCTACCACGCCCACCCGCTGCTGTACATAGATAGCTGTACATGTGTCGATACTTTTTCAACCGCTTGCTGGAGATAGACGTTCCCGCTCCTATTGCGTCTCTGCCCCTTTCGCCTCTTTGATCGGGGAAACATTGTGTTGAGAACACTGAAATTGTAAGCTCTCAAGCAGCTCTTTACAAAAACACTCGGCGTGTGTTGGCTGCTTGGCTCGTGGTTGGTGGAATGTATGCTGCGCTACCCTGCAGAATGAATGCAACTCACCACTGTTGCGGTCTCCACATACATATATCTGTTTCAGGAGAGACTGCCGATGGTTTGAACCCATGTCTAAAGGCCGTTCACAGCATACCTACTGCAGTCATGAAGTAACTTGCGGATGGTGTAATGCCAACTCCTCAGATCATGGCCGTCCAGCCTCTTAGTGCCGTGCTCGAAGAAAGCCAAGCTCGGACGCATTGCGCAAGATGCTTCGAGAGCATGGACAATCAACACAGCGGTGGCAGAGGCAGTCGATGTTCCGCGTGTAGCAGAATCTGTTACTGCTCACGAAAGTGTCAGAAGGCCGACTGGAGGGAGCACCGTCCGGAGTGTAAGGCGTGGGCCTCGAACAGTTCAGGTTCGTGGCGTTGTTCTCTAGCGAGAGGCGTGCGGAGAGCGGAGGTGGGCCGTCCATGAAGCCATGCGACCGTTGTGCTGGCCAACAAAACGCGCGCCCTCATTTCCGCATGGTCCTTGTCGTGGATTGACATTTCGCGCGTTTCGGTGGGTTTGGCGCATGAGGCCTATGTGTTCCGCCTTTTATTGGTCTTCATTTACTCCGTCCGGAATACGCTAAACTCGTGTCGCGTCGCTTCCCATCCGTTGTCCCCTGCAGCGCGTACACCGACGCGCACCCTCCGTCTGGCGGGGCGGATCTTGAACGCGATCAACCGCTCCGACAACAGCAACACCGGCAGTATGGGTACGGTGAACGGAGGCGAGGACGACGGCAGTAGTCACGCGCCAAGCGTACGAGAGGCCGTCGACGAACTCGTGCACCACAACGATGACAGATCACCGGAGCAGAAGGAAGAGTATATGCTCATGGCCAATTTCGTGGCTCGCCTCTGCTTGGCCGGCTGTGGCGATAGCAAGAAGGGGTCGGCCTTGCTCTGGCCTTCGGCCCAAGGTCGTGGCCTACCCGGGTTGGTCGACGCAGCGTACGCTGTCCTGGGCAAGTTATCATGCAACGTGAGTTACCTGTAAACTTGGCCGTCGTTCGGTGCAACGTAGCTTGTGGAGATTGTCCGTGGCATTTGTTAACCTTCCTCTGAATTTGATTTTCTGGTGCTTTCCTCTTCGAGGCGTGTAGTACGATGTCAAATATCACGCGATGCCGGGCTCTTCCATGCTGAGCTACGGGAATGGATGAAACCATGATAAGCATTTGGACAGCACTCACTCCCTTTTGTCGGAGAGTTATGGGGCGTTTTCGATGGGACTTCAGCGATCTAACGCCTACAATGCATGTTTTGACGAGCTTTCACCCCTTGTCGGGGCCAACACCCTTTGATCTAAATCGCGCCCAGGCGAGGCTTCGCTCGAATACGCGCGTGCTTTCGCCAACAGTATCTCTATTGACGGTATCATCTTCACGTCAGGTATTTTCCATCGCGGAGAGTGCACTCAACGGCGAGGTTGGCTGTGGGCTGTACCTTGAAGCGGCGGCAGCAAATCACTCCTGCAATCCCAATGCGGCGCAGTCCTTCTCCGGGAAGACGCTGTCGCTGCGCTGCACCCGCCCCATCCGGAAAGGCGAGGAAATCACGATTGGTATCACGCAGATTCAAAAGCCTGGACCCGCTCGGAGGGAGTCGCTTCGGAAGACCTACTTTTTCGAATGTCGATGCGAGAGGTAAGATTTAATGTACCCCGAATCCCACTAGCAGACTGACAAACGTGTGTTGTTTTAGCGTCAGCGTCAGGTTGATGCGTATGTGGATATACCTGTCACAAGGACAGGTTGAGCTTCGAAGTGCAGGTGTAGGCGCACGAATCCCGACACAATAAGCAAATGGACCTATGTGGCTTGTTGGCGTTACCCTTTGCCCTTGCCCTGCTCTGTGGCATGAAATGGTGCAAACATTCTTCACGTCGTGTATTGCTTCAAAGTAGCGAATGCCAGGTGCAGCTCGCCAACCCTTGCAACGTGTGGTAGGTCGGTACGATGCGGTTGTTCAGATTGTGAAGCGTATAGGCAAGTACGAGCCTTGTCCGACCTGCCCTCTTGTGTGTGAAGGTGTGAGTCACCAGAAGGACGTGCCGAGGATATGCGACTGGAGGCGTTTGCGTGTCCTGACAGTGAGTGTTCGGGGTTCTGCCTTGCTCCGAAGAAGCGCGGCCGTGCGTTGGGAGAAAGCAGCAAAAGCTTCAGGCAGGAGAAAAGTGCATCACCGTCATCGTGTCAAAGCTTCAACTTTCCACAAGAAGAGTGCAACCTGGAACCAAGCGAAGAACAAGAAGCGGCGGGGTTAAAGCTGAGCTCGTTGCATTCTCCCTTGTCTGAGGTTGTGGCTGGACTTGAGACTGAGCGGGAAGGTTCTGCGCGCTTAACATGCGATGCATGTGGGGCAAGTTCTCGTCCAGTGGAGGAGGCTCGGGCAGAACTAGCGGACATTCAAGAGCTACTCAATAGAGTAAAAGGTTTCGGGAATGAGGGTCAGGCGTTACCGGCGAGACGGTGTCTAGAGCAGGCTCTCGGAAAAGCGGCCTCTTCGTTGCACCGCGCAAATTGGATGCTCTCCGAGATCTACGGTCTCCTTGCGAGCGTTTGCGTGGAGCTGCAGGTGAGATGCACCGGCAGCAGCACTTGTGGTGATAGAGCTGCTTGCGTGTCTACCGAGGTCCCTGCTCTTGACGCTGCATTTGCTTTCCATTCGGGTGTTGTAAGATGCTACCGGTGAGTTGATAATTTGTTTTGAATGATTGCACTCGGTTGCTGCTTCGTGCGCAGGCTCGTGTTTTTTCCTGGCCTCCTGATTTTCGACGACAGAGATTGAGTTCCAAACGTTGTCTCTCCTCGTCTCCCTCACACGACTGCTTTGTATTTTCGCAAGGACTTCGACGCAGCCGCGACGTATGCGAGCGACGGCATGGATGCGTCCCGTGCCTGCCTGTCCGGCTTGATGCCGTACTTCGAACCTTGGGGTTGCAACTCGGCCATCACAGGCAAGGTATGGCACGGAGATTCCGGTTGTTTTTCTCATGTGTCAAGTCACTGAAAATGCGTGGCAGAAAACGTGGGTAGATTTGCGAAGTCCTACAAAAGCACCATACCTTTCCAAGATCGAAAGTCAGTTAAGTGCCAATTCTAACATTTGACTTCGAAACCAAACTGTTCCTCCCTCTGGTGGTCTAAACGGACGCCGCGCAGCTCCTTCTGTACGTGCGACGACAGCCCGAGAAGGCGATGCCTCTCTTACTAGAGGCCGAGGCTAGCATCAAAGTCACGCACGGAGACCAGCATTCGCTCTATCGGGAGGTCCGAGGCATGCTAGATCAAGCCAAGGCCGAAAGTGGGCAAAGTACGGGTTACTAATCATCGCGTTGCATTGACGACAAAATTATCGCAGGTAACAGTTGGTTTAGACGTGCCGGCGAGGTCGGTTGAGGACTGTTGCGTCGATGACAGAAGCTGGACTGCCTTAGGGTTGTGGTGCAATTCGAGAATGTGTGGGGAGAACAAAATGAATAATAAGTTACTGTTGCAGTTGCACCTGAAACTTCAAGAAACACCATAAATTTTCGTGTCAACCGGGGGGTGGGGGGGGGGTGTAACGATCAAGTTGTTTTTTGGTTGACCAAGCAGAGGGTTGAGCTGGTACCAAGTTTGCCTGGTTGATCATGAATCCGACAAGGAGCTACCCGGAATGGTACGGCTACGTAGTGTTTTGCATTTGTGTCCGGTAAAACGTGTCTCGGGCTATGGGTTCGCCTTGAACTGTGCAGCCCTACTCACCCCAGAGTTTGCAGGAGGGTCGCCATGTTCGACAAAACAGAAATCAGTCATACCACTCCCCGGCGTTGTCGCGGTGCGATGATGACGGTTAGTGATTCAGCGTCTGAGTGGCGCAATCAGCTACACTTCCTTTTCCCTTCCATGCCTTTTGCTTTTCTGGGACTTTAGCGGAAAGGTAAGTTGGCCTTCAACTCTGTTGCAACGCGTACATTTCGTGGTTTGTCGTATTAATGTCGTACCTTACTTGAGGGTAGCTCATGACCACGCAAATTTGGTTCTTTTAAGAGCAAGGACGAGGAAATAGTGGAGATAAGTCAACGTCTGGTGATTTTCAACATGAAGATGGCAAAAACATTACGGGAGGGACACGAATTTCGAACTTCGCTATTGGGCGGAATACTGACGGCGTTTTGCATGGTGTCCACCACGGCGACGGTGAGTCGTAGACCCCCTTGGCCCGAGTGTCCGACCTCGATTGCTCAATCACCAACAGAGTGCTCAGAACTATATGTCGGGTTGATCTTTCTAATGCCCTGATCGGCTCCGTCGTTTCTCCTCTGCACAAAACAACTTTTTGGAACTCAGCCCAACGAGGGCTGCTAACGACCGTCGCCCACGGTCAGCCGGTCAAGCGTAGTCAAAGCAAGCAGAAACAACACCAGACGATCGGTTCTGTATACCCAGCAGTCCCGAGGAATGCCAACTTCGGCACATGTGCGCCCTAGTCTACAACCTTTCCCCCGTGGAAAAGACGCATTTCTTCGTACCATGACAACATTTGGTTCATCCACAACATTTTCACTGGAGGCGCCCCGAGTGGTTGGCCCTCGACCTTCGTCGGGACGAAGTTACTTCGATACTACAAAGCTGCGAGTCGCTTCGCATCACAGGGTGCATAAAAAATCGCAAACGAGAATCAGAGCTCGAAAATAAGGAGGGGGTACTGTACAAAAGCCGTTCCTCCCTCAGACCGAAAAAAAAGCTGACAACATACGCTACTGTGCCAGCAGTCATGTTTCCATCGAGCTAATATCCCTACAGTAACACAAACACCTTTGGAACCAACACAACTGCTTCCTGCTTCCCGGAGCTTTCGACTTAGCCAGAATAGGATGCCATGGGCAATCATCTTGACCGCCCTCCACTTGTCCAACATCGCGTACTTTAGCCGTTCCATCAATCCGGCTTGTTGCGCCTGCCCGTCCACTCTCGTGTCTCCTTCGACCAATCGTGATCCCGGCCGACATCTTTGCTTCCAGAATTCATGAAAGCACCACGCTGTATCTGCGACCCCGTCAACCCTTCTTCGCTATCGTACAATGACTTCCTGCTCAGCAGGACCGTGCGGAAAAGACAGCAACACGTGTGCAAGCAGTAGGCGAGGGGTATTCCGGGCAAACAATATGAGAATATCATCTATTGCTGTTTTTTTTTCAACCGTTGCTGTTGTCGGCGGTCAATGAGTCGCTAATCGTACAGCAGCAACATTCGTAAACTGCATTGGCCATCAAGGACCACCCGCTTTTGCTGTACTGTGATACACCAAACGGTCCTACGGCGAGTGCGCTACAACCGTACGGAAGGGTGAGGCGCACACTTACAACAACAACCATCATAGCGCTGAACTCCTCTTACCACCCCAAAAGAGTGTAAGCGTGTGCTCACTGTACGAGATCCCATTCCCATAACCAGCGGCCATTGGATATAGAGTCCTACGTTCAAAGCTGATCAAGTCCGCTACAACTTGGCATCAAAAGGACAACAGCCTTTCTAGGTTTGCCCTGCACGTATGCAAACGATTTGAAACAACAAATTGTAGCACGGGGTTGGTCACTACGGGGAGTGTTGTATGGGGTAGTTGGTGTTGATTGGCCCCAAGACTAGTGCTGCTGGATGAGCACGGCTGTCCCGGTTGACAAAGTGAAGAGATGGTAAAGTTGTTTTATGGTTGTCCTCGTAGACACAAGCAACGGAAGAGAGTGGGCACCAGGGTGCATTACAAACACCGAGGCACGCGAGCAACAGTCGAAAGACACATTCGGAACTCGGAACACACGACAGCACGGAACGCGCGACAACTTGCCTAAGATACTACTACCGGAGATACCCCGAAGATCCAAATGACCGATGGACGGCCACGCACTTGCGCACTTGCATAGCTCAAAACCACACATGAGTACGACCGCAGTAGCCTTCGTAATGATGGCATAGACTAGCCCACCTCACGAACAGTTGGTCTGTGGCCACGGAAGAAGGCCGCGTCATTTGGGGCGGTGCGGATGTTTGAAGGCACTGGGCAGATACCGTTTTTCTTTGATGACAACAACAACAGACCAACCAACAGCATCTCAACAAGCAGACGAAAGCTACTATAATGTAGCTGTGCTGTGGGCTGTAGTACTAGCTGTGCTGTGGGCGAACTGCTGTACATGTTGAAACACCGATCGATAGGACATCAGCACCATTTTCGGTTCTGTACATCCATGAAATGGGAGAAACTGGGTAACAGTCACCAACCCTCCCACTCATACTATCTGTAGATATGTAGTCTTCGTCGTACTCTGCGCTACAGCAGCAGTGGTCATGTACTGCTTGTGTTATTCTTAGTCTACTCGTGTGAGATCATCCTGGTTTGTGCTACAGCAGCAGTGGTCATTGTGCGCTACAGCAGCAGTGGTCATGTACTGCTTGTGTTATTCTTAGTCTACTCGTGTGAGATCATCCTGGTTTGTGTGTTATTCTTAGTCTACTCGTGTGAGATCATCCTGGTTTGTGCAGTCATGTACTTACTTCATCCGCTTTCGAACTACGAAAGGTATTGATGCCATGGCCGCCGCGAAGCCACAGATGGCCACCCCCACAGCCAGGTTTCTTTGCCTGACGCTCGAGAAGTAGTTCCTCATAGCATTAGCTAGCACTGCTGACTGGAACGTGAGTCGTGCTCGACGCTGCGCGGGGGTCAAAAATGCGGGGGGATCTACCCGACTAGGAGGGTGGGTGGTTCCCTCCATGCATTTCGCGTACCCCCTTTGGATCCCGCCGCCCTTTGATCCGCGCACGCACAGATTTGGCTTTGGGTAAAGCAGCAACGCGTGGACGTCTTACGGAAGAAGGCAACAGCAATCGCCGGTGTGCACATTGCACGGAAACGGCAGAGTGTAGCACCGCCACGCGTCAGCCGCGCCTCGGACTCGAGCGTAACAAGAACTTAAAGTGGTCAGAGAGAGACTCGGAGAGACTTGAACAGCGAATAATAATTTTCTTCGTTGTTTGGTGCAGACGGCGGACTCCATCTGGGCGAGATGCTTGAGGGATTGGCTAGTCGTTACGCACGTGGCGCGCAGCCCCCGATGTGTTCAGAGGGATAACAAGTTGTCGAGACAGGACGCGAGTGCTGCAACCACAGAAAATTATGCGCGTGCCCAAACAGCAAGCTGCGGTTTTTCGTTGGCGCTCGGTCGGTCGTTTTGCGCCCGACGAAGAACGCCCGAGCGGTCCGCGTTTCGTTCTCGTTCTCGTAGGAACAGGATTAAGTTCTGAGAATCGTACCGAGAACCATTCCCTCCGCATTTCGATGCTGGAATAGCACATGGTAATCTGTTGTCCCTCGTGGCGTATGTGACAGCCCCGTAGTTCGCCTTGAATTTTCACGACTATCATTCGGTACGTGGTGCAGCCACAAGTAACATGCAAAAATGTGCACGTTACACACAATCTTGACGCTATGCAGCAGCAGTAGCCGTAAGCAACAAGAACAAGAAGAAGGCCCTACTGTAAGAAAATTGCTTGCACGCACGGCCTGATCGAATGGTTGTTGGTCGGTTAGTGATGCTGCCTGTATCGCAACATACACACTTCTCTAGACGTCTTTCACAGCAGCATGCGAACACCATAGTACCCTGTGTCTCAACGCTTCGTTTCCTCCAGATGATCGATGACGTAAAGGAGCTGTTGTCTGTGGGATCGAAGACCCGCGAGGCCATCGAGGCCACCGATGTCGTCAAGAATGCGCGCCAGACTGAAGGACTACAACAGCATGTTCCACGTGCTGCTGCAGAGCGGGTCTCCCGATAAGTTCAAGAGCGAGCTGCAGAGGTTGCGCAACATCTACCACGAAACAGAGGCGCTGCACGTGAAACACACGGCGGGTCCGGAAGACCCGAGGTGCGTCAGGTTTACCAGGAAAGTCAGCAGAGGAACTCAGCACAAGTCCATCGAGGAGGACTCGGACGCCATCGACGGAGAAGCCCTCCAGCTCTTCACCGCCATCGCCGCGAAATCGTCGATCGACAACAGCAAGGCGATTCGGCAAATATTGCAAGACTTGAAGCTGGAGGGAAGGCGTGTCAGCGCTGGACGTAAGCTGCTGGTCGTGGGGGGAGTCTTCGGAGTGTTTTCGTCGTGCTCGCGGCATTGGCGCTGGCACAACGAGACGGGGAAGCACCTGTCGACGTACTCAAAGCGGTTGAGCTCGTTTTGCGCGACTTTGGGCCGGACGGGGCGGGCGTCAGCGATGGGACCCAGCTGTTCGTCGTGGGGTTGTTCGGGACGCTGGTCGTTGCCTTCGGGGCTGTGATGAA